TAACAGGATGGAGCCCGAGGAAGGAGTAACAGGATAGTACTGGAGCAGGAGTAACAGGATGGAGCTGCGGGCAGGAGGAGAAGGTTGGAGCTGGGGCAGGAGTGATAGGGTGGAGCCACTGGGCTGGGAAGTAGGCAGGGCTGATCCCACCTGGTCCTCCCGGGAGCTTCTTTCCTGCTCTGGCAGCCAGTGGGGAGGATTGAAATGCTGTGAGTTACCATGAGGCCTGCAGCTTGGTGTGGTGGCACTGGGGGTGTGTCAGAGCAAAACCTTGGGGAACCTGCTTGAAGAGGGACGCCTGCACATGCTTAGGGGCTGCAGGTCCTCACCTGCCTAAGACCCTCTGTCTCCTCCCTTCCCAGGTGGGCTGCCTGCCCTGGGCCTGGAGCTCCAAGTCCAACAGTTCCCTGGTGGTCCTTTCATCCGGGGGCCAGCGCACAGCCCTGCCCACGCTGCCCTGCGAGTCTACGCACCATGCCCTGCTCTGCTGCCTGGTGGGCACCCTCCCACTAGCCATATTTTTTCGGGTGTCCTCCTTGCCAAAAATGATCCTACTGTCCGGGCTTACCACTTCCTACATCCTCGTTCTGGAGCTCAGCGGATACACCAGGACTGGGTAAGCGTGTGGCTCCTCGAGAAAAAGGCCTAAGCAGAGGGGCTGCTGAATCTGTGCAAACAGATGCGTTAGAGGCTTCTGATTCAAGAACTAGTCAAGATGAATTGTATCCAACAGTTTAGTTTGTGGCTGCTTCCCTTCTACCCAAGTTCTAGCAAGGACCCAGATTTCCCATTGGGAAGTGACTCTTGGCCAGGGTCCACCCAGGCAGCTGTTTCTGGTGAAACCGTTCACCACCTGAGGGTCGCTCTGAATGGTTCTTGGGTTTAATTGCACCGTCTTGCCCTGGAAGCTTAGCACTGACTTGGCTTTCCTTCCTCATCTTCCCCCAGAGGTGGTGCCATCTCCGGGCGCAGCTACGAGCCGATTGTGGCCATCCTGCTCTTCTCCTGTGCGCTGGCCCTGCATGCCAGGCAGGTGGACATCAGGCTGAGGCTGGACTACCTCTGGGCCGCACAGGCAAGATGAGCTCTTTCTGCTTTCTGGGGGTGGGGGATTTGGAGGAGGAAGGAGCCTTCAGCAATTGTTTGGTGGGGGCTGCCACAGACACTCACATGCCATGTGGCCCTTGGAGGGCCCTCCTCAGCAGCGTGCAAGGCCAGGCACTGTCTGGGGATGGAGAAATCCTGTGCTGGGGGGTGCAGGGAGTGGGAGCCACGCCTGAGGGAAGACAGTTCAGAAGGTTGTGGGGTGTGTGTGATGGAGACCTGCCTGATGGTCAGAGTGTGGCTCTTTCATGAGGCCGTGAGTACCCCCACTCCTGGAACAGTGTATGCAGTGGTAGTGCAGAGGGGCTCAGCCTCTGCAGGGCCTGGTGGTGGCAGCAGGTCCCATCGGGATCATTGGGAAACATAAGAAAATGCCAAAATTCTCACCACCTACTCCAAATTTAGTAGATCAGCAGGTGAGAACTGGGCATCCATCTTTTTACGTGTACCCTGGGAAATTCTGACGCAAAAGGCATAAGCACCCCTCTTTGGGAGACTCCATGGAGTAGCAAACATGAGAACTGGCCTCAGGCCTCGACCATCTGGGTACCAGGCTGGAGAGGAGTCATGCTTTCCTGAAATCTGTAGGTGGCTTTCTGCTTGGATGTGAGCCTGGCAATGGCTGCCAGGTATTACCTTGAGTTCCTGCTGTGGAGCCACATGCAGAGACAGCAGGTGCATACCTGTGTCCACCCCATGGCCAGCGGCCAAGGCACCATGTGGGTGCTCATGTGAGCGTCTTCGTGCATGACACTGTCGTGCACCTGCGCTATGCTCCACAGGCCTCTAGGAGGTGAGGCAGTCAAGCATTCAAGACCAGGCTACCTGGGTTCAAATCCCATTTGTGGAATTTGCAAAGTGTTTCACCCTGGGAAAGTTTCTCCTCCTAGGTTTCCTCCCCTGAAAATCACAAATGAAGGCTGATGAATTTAACTTTAGCAAGAGATAATCTTATTTTGACACCTCAAGAGTAGCTCTTTGCTATTGGAGCTATTTGATCTCATTCAGTCTTCAGAACAGCACTGCCCAGGAGCTGGAAACACAGATGAGAAAGCAGCGGCCACTAAAGTAACATGCCAGAGTCAGGCAACCAGATGGTGGCTGAGCTGGGAACCAGCTGCCATCTATGTGACCTTCGGACGGGCTCCGAACCTCTGGAGAGAGCTATGTGGGGGGCCAGGCAGGACAGGAGCATTTTTGCCCTAGGCCTTCTACTCTGCAGCTAGGACTGAAGGCAGGCACAGCCCAGAGTTGGGGTTCAAACACCAGACAGGCACAGGCCAGAGGGTGGCCAGGAGGAACTGTGGCCAGGACCAGCTGAGGGCTCACTGTGGAAGCAGACCTAGGCTCGCTGCTGGAGTCGGGAAGCTTGTCAATTTCCTGCGCTTGTTCCCAAGGCTGACCGGGCAGCAGTCCCTGCAGTTGAGTGACCAAAGCCGTGGTCAGCAGTAACAGGGGTGACAAAGGTTGGGTCTGGCATCAGGTAGTCCTTGTCCTGAATTCCAGCACCTCCATGTAGGCTCTGTGTGACTTTGACCAGTGACAGGTCAAGCTGTCTTTCTGCTTGAGCAGTAAAATAGGGTGAGAACCCTGATCCAGGTGTGCAAGAAATAACTGAAATTCTTTTCCTGATGTGCTTGGCCACCAGCCTTGTGCAAAGTAGGTGCTCAGTGAGGTTGCGCAGCCCTTCACACAGCAGTCTGTTACTCTGTGGTGAGCCATCATTTGGGGGGATCTCTTTCTGGGAAGAGGGGTCAGAGAGGGATGAAGGGTAGGTGTGAGGAGCATCCGGAGACAGGTTCTCACTCATGAAAAAAATGAACACAGTTGTTTTCTTCAGTTTTATTCATGTGGAAAAGACATAAGCAGCTTAGTAGGTTCGTGTCAGCATGACAGGGCAGGATGCATATTTAAAGTGATGGAAATTATGCTGTTGATTTGAGTAAGGAAAAGAAAGAACATATATATAAATCACACACACACACACTGTCTTTGTGTATATCTATATACATGTGCTCACAAATGCTTGGTGAAAAACATGGTTTATTTTTTCCATTACTGTGTAATAGCTTTATTGAGATATTTCACATAACACAATTCACTTGTTTGGTGAACAGTAGTTTTCGGTATACTCACAGTTGTGTAACCATTACTATAATCAATATTAGAATACTTTCATCTCCCTCAAAAGAAACCCATCCCCATCAGTTAACAGTCCCCATTTCCCCTCAAACCCCAAGCTCTACGCAACTACTAGTCTACCTCCTGTCTGTGGATTTTTCCATTTCATTTATTCTTCAGCCTGTGTATTAAGTTAGTGCCTGTTCTGGGCAGAAGACATTCCTGTGTGCTACTAGATGGGGCTCTGAGCTAGCCTTGGAGGTGGGGAAGACCCAGATTCCCGAGGGACTCATGATCTGGCTCTGCCTTCACCGCATGCCTGAACTGCAGGTTCCGAGTGGGCAGGGGTTGCCTAGAACCCCTAGAGGCCCTTTGGCCTCTCCCGGGAGGGTGCTGCTGTGTGGTGGGCTCACTGTCAGTAGAGCTGTCTGAACAGAACAGGCCCTGATTCCTGCTGTGGAGTGGGAGGGACCTGGTGAGGGCATAAACACATCTGCGTTAGGCTGTTCTGACGCTGCTATAAAGGATTATCTGAGACTGGGTAATTTATAGAGAAAAGAGGTTTAATTGGCTCACAGCTCTACAGGCTGTCCCAACAGGCACCAGCATCTGCTCGGCTTCTAGGAAGGGATCAGGGAGCTTTTACACATAGCAGAAGGCAAAGCGTGAATAGGCATGTCACATGGCGAGAGCAGGAGCAACAGGTCGGGGGGAAGGTGCCACACGCTTTAAAACTGGGTCTTCCACGAGCTCTACCATGAGAACTCTTGACTGTCGTGAGGACAACACCAAGCCATGAGGGATCTGCCCCCGTGACCCACACACCTCTCACCCGACCCCACCTCCAACACTAGGATTACGTTTCAGCATGAGATTTGGTGGGGACAGAGACCCAAACCATATTAATATATGAATCTGACTTGTCACCAGAGGAATGCAGGCTGTGGCGGGAAGCGAGTCATCACACCAGGCCTGACTGCGGCCACAGTGGGTTGTGAGGAAGTGAAGCCAGGCGTACCCGGGTACAGCCAGTGTTTCTCTGGGCCTCGTATGATGTTTCAGGGTTGACTGTGGAAGGATCAGGGATGGGTTGATGGGGAAGGGATGAGGAACCTGGCAGAAAGAGGGAGTTTTTCAGCAAAAACTGAGAGATGAGTCAGAGCCCAATCCAGGCCTGCTGTGGGCAGTGGAGCTGCAAAGGCAGGGCGATAGGACCTGATCACCATCTCCAAAGGCGGCCTGACAGTGGAGTGTGACACAGAGCCCAGGAGGCAGATGGGAGCCCTATGACCCACAGGGGCCCTGGGGAGAGCAACTTGCATGGTTAGGGGCTGGCAGGAGGGCAGTTTGGAAGTGGTCATGTGGTGTCTGGCCACAGTTGGCCATCAAGTGGAGGCGCAGTGGTGGAGGTAGAGTGGGTCTCCAGGGGACTGTGCATGTATCTCAGCCTGGGCTGAGAGTGGAGGGCACTCTCCAAGCGGGTGAGGTCAGGAGCCCTTATGATGCTTGGACTGTTTGAAAGACAGGGGCAGGCACAGGGCAGCTCCAGGCTGGTGTGGCACTCAGGGCAACCACAGTGGGAACGAGCCCTAGAACCAGGGAACAGGGAGGGCCACCTGACAGGATTCACCACCTTCAGCCGAGACACGCAGCCAGTCTGCAGCAACCATGCCAAGAGGAACCAGGAATGCTCTCCTCCCTCACTACCAGCCCCTGCTCATGCTCCCCATTGGCCAAACTTGGCCGGAAGTAGGAGGCCCAGGACCCTGTTGGTAGAGTCCTTGCACTGGCCTCCCTGGGACAGAGCTGGTGGGGAATGGACTGCAGATAGCACACACCTGCCCTGGAAGGGAGATCTGGCCAGCTGCAGTTTGCTAAAGCCACACCAGGTAATGTGAAAAGAGCCTCTTTATGACGGGCTGTGTTGGTGAACTTGGTCTTAGTCTGGCTCCAGCTGGCTATCCAGGGTGATCCAGCTGGCTGGTCCGGGAGGAGATGTTGACCCAGCTGTCAGCCGGCCTCTCTGGATTCAGATATTTTTAGTTGCAAAAACCTACTCAGAGCTTGAGAAGAATGGACTTGGGATGAGCTAGGAAAACTGGAACAGCCCAGGCCCATGAGACCTGGGGTTTCTGGGTTATCTGCTAGGGTACCTGCTTGGCTTCTCACTCTCAGGCAGCAGAGGTGGGCCTTGGCTGTGACTCTTCCAGTTGAGGGACACGTCTGGGAGAGGCGTTTTCTCTCATCTGGGTTGACATGGCTTTTTCTTGGCTTTGATGTTCTTTCAAATGTTATTAAATGCAGTAGTTGACCCTGCCATGTCGTTCTCCATCCAGTGATCCCCCTAGCAATGCCCGGTGAGCATACCAGTAATTTTAGGGCTAGAATGCAATCCTGGGCCTTGGGGCAGCCCAGGCAAGTCTGTGGATCCCTGTGCATGCGTGTCACAAGAAAGGGTTGCCCAGATGGGCACGTAACTGTCACTAGATTCTTCCTGGTCAGTGATTTCTGAAACAGAAGGACAAGTAAGAAACAAGCCTTTTGAAAGAATTGTGCCATGAAGAGAACATTCTGAACATGGAAGTTGGATGGACACATGATTTTGTTGACAGGAATAACGTGTGATGCCCACAACTCTTTCTTAAAAATAGAGTTTCCTGGTGGGAAAATCTTATAGACCGAGAATTTCAGTGAATTTTCATCATCTTGGTTAAAATATATAACAGTATAACTTCTGCTTTGTTCATGAAAATAAGTGGCACAGGGAAAGACAGATGTTTTCCAGTCAAATTTTAACAAAAATCTTCGTATTTGTGGATGGATTAAGAGATATACTTAAACCATCCACAAATGCAAAGATACAAGAGTACACTGCCATGTTTGTCCACAGATAGGTAACAACAAATGCCACCTGCTTTCCCATAACCTCAGCAAAACACAGACTTTGCCTGTTTGCCCTTGGACATTTAGGCACATAGTCCAAACATCAGAGTGCTCAAATTATTGCAAAATTGCCAGGTCAAACACTAGGTAGGTTAATTATTTACAGAGACTGGATCAGTTGTCCAAACCTGCAAAAACAGATAGGCTTTTCCCTTGGGAAGCATCTTCAGCCTCTTCGTCTGTAACTCCTGGATGCTTTTGTTCCAGTGTCATGTCTTTCTTTGCAGTCAGCAGATATCATCACGGCAATTATAATTTCAATGTTTACGCTATTTAGTATAGAATGCAGTTAAAACAACTTATTTCTCTACCAATAAATGCTTAATTCAAGGGTAATCCCCATTTTGCAGTTGCCATGATTGACATTTAGAGGGAAGGTTTCCTAAGATGTGGTCATGGCACAGACAGGGAATTCCTGGTGGTGGAAGCCAAGTTAGAGACCTGGTTCCACCTCTTATTCTGGTCGCTTGTCTTCTCCACCCTTGTCTCGGGGTTGCCAAGGAGTTTATGTGATATAAAGCCGTGGTCACCATGCTTCTTGGACTCTGACATGCTGTGTGCTTGTTAGTCATCATCTTGTTCTCTGTTACTGGCCATAGGGTTCCCATCTGGCCTTTGGGTGAGTACATCCTCACAAACAGCTTTTATGGAGGGACAGGTGGTTCCAGATGTATCCCAGCTGCATCCTGCAGCACACTTCTATGGAAACCCCCAAGGAGCCCAACCGTGACCCCACATCCATCATGCCCCATGCGCACTGGAAACATACCCTTTGCCCATCTGAGGGTGCACACACAGCCTCTGGCAGGCCTCCACTCTGTACCTGCACCCATAGTGCTACCACCTACCTCTATCCAACAGGTGCTTATTGGGCACCAAAGTATCCTGACCCTGTGCTGGGGATGCTCACAAGGTTGAGGTGTAACCCCTGCCCTTGGGTGCTTGTGGGCTGTTGAGGGAATCAGACACGAGCCACAGAAAATTTCAATACAGTGAAGGGTGTGCCATGTAAAACATAGACAGGACCCTGACCCAGACAGGTGGATGTGATATCACTTAAAGATAATACCTCACCCCTGAGACTTTTAGGATGAGTAGGAATTAGTCAAGGGAGGTCCAGAGTGCTAGGTGGGGTAAGTGTGTCTGTCTCCTGAGATGGTTGTTTTTATTGCTGTTTTAAAAAATCAGTTCATAATACTATATTATGTACTTGAAATTTGGTAAGATAGCAGATTTTAAGTGTCCTCACCCCCACCTGCACACGCACAAATGGTAACTATGGGTGGTGATGGATGTGTTAAATAATTTGATCGTAGTAGTCATTATGCAGTGTACACATATATGAAACCATCACATTGCACACCTTGGAGATACACAGTTTTTGTTTGTCAATTAAATATTTTAAAGTAAAGAGGAGTGTATGCACCTCAGGACACCGGATGGTTCAGTGAGGTTTGGGGAGAGCACATCAGAAAGTCTATTTATAGTGGTATCTGAGAATTAAGAAATGTACTTTCCTGATGTTGAAGGATGAACCGGCAGTGCTGACCTGACACTGGCCAGATGCCCTGTGTCACTTGCAGAAGGGAGGCAGGGACGTCACTTCTGAGACAGAATGAGGACAGGGCCACCCTCCCTTGGCTGTTCCCTTGTAGCAAACATGTTGTTGATTCCAGGCTCTGGGGTTACTGGTCTTGCTAGTTAGACGAAATACTGTCAGGCTGACTGTGGGGGTCACTCACAGCACATGTCAGCACACAAGGGAGTTGCCAAATTATGCTGTTTGTTATTTTGTTCTCTTTTACAAATGACAAGCACCCCGGGATGTGACTTCTCTGAGTTACCACATAACTATCACTAGATTCGTCCTGGTCAGTGATTTCTGAAACAGAAGGACAAGTGAGAAACGCACAAGCCTTTTGAAAGAAACTTTGCCATGCAGATAACGTTCTGAACATGGAAGTTGGGTGGACATGTGATTTTGTTGACGGGAAGAATATGCGATGCCCACGACCCTTTCTTAAAAATAGTTTCCTGGTGGGAAAATCTTATAGACTGAGAATTTCTGTGAATTTTCATCATCTTTGTTAAAATATATAACAGTACAACTTCTTGGTTCATGAAAATAAGCGGCACAGGGAAAGATAGATGTTTCCCTGTCAAATGTTGACAAAAATCTTGGCATTTGTTGATGGATTAAGAGCTATATGGCGATTTCAGAAGGGCAGCTGCTCTGGTAGCCCATTAATCTAAATGTGGCAATAAGCAGAATGCAGACACAATTTTTTAAATCACAATACTGTAAATGTAGATTCTGGTTTTTAATCGAAGCATATTCAATTACATTGTTTTCACCAAAATACTATTAACATTAACAATAGTATTTTGGAGCCTGCAAAATTTTTGTGCCACTAATAAATAAAGCTATTATTTTAGAAGACAGTTTTTACTTTCTCTTCATTTCACCTGCTGAGACCAGCTCAGCCGTGGAGAACCCAACCCAGGCAGTGCTGATGGAATTAAGAAACAGACACAGAGATAGAAAGTAAAAAGTGATGTCAGAGAGTGAGGCAGCAGGAGTCTCACAGCATTTCCAGCTGAGATCCCAGAGCAGACTCTGACCCATGTATTCATTCTTGACTTTCCAGTGACAAGTTTGACAAGCAGATGCCCTGTGTTCTTTCATTGGTTAAAGGTAAACTAACCAGACAGCTAGTGTACATTTACTATTGGTTAAAGACAAACTAGAAAGCACTCTTTATGAGAGAACAAAGGGAAGAGTCACATATCCAGGGTTCAAAGAATGAATTCATGTGGTGTGAGACATATTCATATTGGTTACTGTTTTATAACGTTTTGAGCAGTTTTCTGCTTTGGGGGGGCAGTTTTCCACTTCAGGGGGGCCAACTAGGCTTTCTTTACTGCTGCTCTCAGCAAACAATATGATTTCTCATACACATTAGAATTTGCTCTCAACAGTCTCTCTTTACAAACCTTTCTTTTGTGTATATTGGAGCATGATGTGTTAACACGTAATTAATAATGTGGGTCCTATAGATAGGTATTTGTCCAGAATGTCATTATTAATGGGAACTTGAGTTGAAAGCAGCCTTGGAGACCATGAGAGGCTGGAAATGGAAGGTTTCTGACCTTTGAGCATGACCCAGAATAAGCCAGCACCGTGCTCAAACAGCCCCTGTATGGGCAAAGCCCAGCTCCAGCCCATCTGGGCAGCCAGACCCCAGCTGTGGTCTGACTGGGAAGGTTATGGCCTCTGAGTTTCTTTCATCTTCATCTGCCTCTGGCCCACACGCCTTAAGGAACAAGAAGAAACACCTGGCGCCGTCTGTCTCTGTGGGTTGCACTGATTCGCTGGCATTGTCTTCCCAGAAAACACTTGCACCAGGCCTTCCCTTCATGCCCTGCCGGGCTTCGTGTACACCCCCATCTTCATACCTGACTCGTAAGGCTCAGGGCCTCCTCACCTCTATTCTTGGAAATCTCCACTTCTCTGTTTTAGCTGGTGCAATCACTGTGTGCTGTCTAGTGGTGTGTTCTTGGCCAACTCAGTTCTGATAGCATCAGAACTGCTAGGAAGCAGCTGTGCTCTTTAGGCTTACTAAGGGGCATGCCGTCCCCTCAGCCCTTGTTAAGTACAACCCTACAAGTGGTCACTCTAAAGGTGGGTGTGTTACACCCATTTTACAACAAGGAAACCACAGCACAGTGAGGCTGCATCTGCTGGCTGGGTCACCAGCCACCTGGGGGACATGAACCAGGGGAGCTGGCCTCCAAACCACACAAGGGCAGTCTGTACAGTTTTTAACTACGTTCAAGAGTTTGATGCCTCCATAAATGCTGACACATACTTAGAATATTCCCCAGGCTTCACTCCTTTCAGGAATTGGGTTTTGTATGAGGGAAAACAGGGACCCCAGTGGCTTCTGCCTCCTAGGGCTGTGCTGGGCCCTGCCACCAGCACTTTTCCATGAACGGGGCCTTTGCTGTCCGCTTAATCAGTCTCTGCAGGGTCCTGCAGCTAGCAGTAAGCAGACTGGGACTCACCGGCCCCTGCTGTCTGCTCCGCTGTGTCCCCATGGCAGGACCCTTTGGGTCTTTACTTCTTGCTCCAGGGGGCTGGAAGTCAGCACTCGGATGAGCACATTGGCCCTGAATCTGTCCCTGCAGGGTTCTACTTGTCTTAGTGCCCAGAGGGGTATGGGCTTTAGTGAAGGCCAGAGAGATTCCAGAGGAAACAGGAGCCTTAGGAAAGTGTCCCTCCACCCCTCCTGGGTGCAAGGCATTCTAGGACAGGTGCCCTGGGGGGCACATCAGGAGCTGCCTGGGGGTGCTGGTGGAGCCTGTGGATAGGCACCTGCCTGAGAAAGAGTTGCTGTAGCATCTGGTCCCTAGGAGGTAGCCGGGGGCAGGGCAGACCCTGGAAATGAGGTGAAGCCATAGTTTGTCCTTTGGACATTCCAGCAGATGGGGTGGTGACTTAGGCAGACATCTGCGGATATTCCCCGCCCAGTAACATGGATCTAGTCATGCATGTATCTGGTGCAGAGGAAGGACAGGAGCATGGGTGTAGACCATCAGCACACCTGAAGTCTAGTTTGGATGATTAGAAAGAAGCGTGCAGTGGGGACAAGCAAAGGCAGCGTGATGGATGGGACTAACCGAGGCTCATGATGCCCCAGGCAGAGGAGGAGCGAGAGGACATGGAGAAGGTGAAGCTGGACAACAGGCGCATCCTGTTCAACCTCCTGCCTGCCCACGTCGCCCAGCACTTCCTCATGTCCAACCCTCGGAACATGGTGAGCACCCAGCTGCGCCTGGCTGGCACTGCCCGGCACTGCTCTGGCCGCCCCGCTGGCGCTCGCCTGGCTGACCCATCCTGACCCGTTCTTTGAACTTCCAGGACCTCTACTACCAGTCCTACTCCCAGGTGGGTGTCATGTTCGCCTCCATTCCCAACTTCAACGACTTCTACATCGAGCTGGATGGCAACAACATGGGGGTGGAGTGTCTGCGGCTTCTCAACGAGATCATCGCCGACTTTGATGAGGTGAGGCCGCACATCGCCATCCTGACCCCACCCGGGAGTGGCAGTGCATTCTGCTGATGGGTGACCAGGATGCCCCTTCACCTAATTAAATTCTGTGTGTCTCACGATATGTCACAGTCTCTATAGCTGGAATGAGAGAAAGCAAATCCCAGGAAGCACGGGCATTCTGTCTCCTTTGGGATCCAGACCAACCATGATAGGAGAGGACCCTAGGATAGGGGACCAGGGCCACTGGGTGGGGCTGGGTGCTTGTCCTCCATGTTGTAAATGTCAGGGCTGGGACATCTACAGTGGCCAGGGTTGGGCAGCCTCACCTACAGGTCGGCAGACAGGAGGACGCCCCCAGGCCCTGGTCTACAAATAGGCAGGCAGGTGGGTGCCCTCATCTACAGATAGGCAGGCGGGTGCCCTCATCTACAGATGAGCAGGCAGGCGGGCACCCTTATCTACAGAAGGTTAGGCAGGTGGGCACCCTCATCCACAGATGGACAAGAAGGTAGGCGCCCTCATCAACAGATAGGCAGGCAGGAAGGCACCCTCATCAACAGATAGGCAGGCAGGAAGGCACCCTCATCAACAGATAGGCAGGCAGGAAGGCACCCTCATCAACAGATGGGCAGGCAGACGGGCGCCCTCATCTACAGATGGGCAGGCAGGCGGGCGCCCTCATCTACAGATGG